ARGGTCTTCAATRCCAGTGATGCCGATGAGTGTTAGCTCGCAACAGAGGCTCTCGAATGGAACCTAAAGATGGTAATGAGTATATAAAGAGAATCTTAATTATAGAAATACTGACATCGCCTTCGGAGTTCAGAGATGACCSTGCAGGGGGCCATGTGGGCAGATCGCGATAGCACAGAGCGATGGTTCGCAGAGTTTGGTTTGCATAGAAAATAATAGTGCGGCTGATGTTCTCCGTGGCCATTTCATCGATAGGCATCGTCTCGATATCCGTAGGGTACTCCCCATCTCGGTGAACCGCGATGTGACGAGTCGACTTCTTCGCAAGAATTTCACTTGCACCTTTGAAGTAAGCCCGGTACCCGCCACCCGGGAGCCGGACGACAACGCCCATGGACTTGCGCTCACTCGAGAAAGGGATCATCTGGACGACTTCGGCAGCGTCCCGAGTCTTCTGGAAGTCGTTCCACTTGAGTTCCTGAGCGAACTGCAGGAGGGCCGTTTCAGTCTTGCTGCCGATGAAGATGATCTCGCCGCTCTCAGGGTCCRTATCTTGGAAYGCAGTCGAGTTGACYGCAATAGCCTCGTTGAAAAGATCGCGGACTTGAGGTGAAAGGAMATTGTTGAGGTTGCTTTGATCGACAGAGAAGTCCTGGTGGTGTTTCCGAGTGACATCATCGTCATTGGCATTGGTCCGCGCAGCGTTCTCATCAAGCTTGCGAAYRAATTTCGCGTGGATACCAATAGAACCGGCGACGACGGTCATAGAATTCTGGGTCAGCGTTCCAGTTTTGTCTGTGCAAATGACCGATGCATTAGCCATGGTTTCACATGATCCAAGGACGCGGACAAGCAGCTTCTCGTATGTCATCCGCTTGGTCGCGAAAGCCAGTGCAAGAGTAACTGCCAACGGCAGACCTATGAAAGAAGCGATGGTTTGATAACTGRAGTTGAATATTTTTTGRATATAACACACCTTCAGGAACGGCAACGACAATCAAGGTCACGGAAATAATCAGTATATTCACAAAAGCGATGCCATTTTCACTTGGGTTGCTATGGAATTAATGTCCCGTCAGTATTCCTCAAAGAAAGAGTAAAGGTGTGACATACCGAACAGGGACACCTTTGCCAAGTTGTACAAAAAATCTGATCATCAACGCGACGAATAAAATCAAACCGGCGAGTGAACCGATCTTAGCAATGAGTTCAGCCAGCGCATTGAGTTTCAACTGAAGCGGCGTGTTTTCGGTATCACCACGGAGAGCTAGGAAAGTATGTTTAGCCTAGTCCTCATAACTCAACATGAACACTAGCGTACCCATCATGATACGACCGTTGAAACTCTTGGTACCGACGGCGACGACGACATATTTGCCAACCCCTTCTAGTACCTTGCTGCCGGAGATAATGAAGCAGTCTGTGTGTCCGGCTTCGGGGTCTTTTCCTGCTGCGACTGCCTGGCGGTGTAGCTCGATGACCTCAGAGTACGTCAGCTTTTTTATAGAATCTGATTCTCCCGTGGCACCCGATTCGTCGCATTTGACATTGTGTCCAGACAGGAAAATGCCATCACATGGAACGACCTCGCCAGGTTCAAGATGGGCAATATCTCCGACGACAACTTCCTATGGTCTCAAAGTCAGTGAAATCCTATACCGCTTTTATATATGCTCGTACCTTGATATCAATCATTTTATCGACTCCATCACGCGTGACCTTGACACCTCGCTCCTCTTTCCGTTCGTTGAGCGCCTTGAACTGTCGCTCTTTTTGCCAGTCGTTCACAGAGCCGACAACAACCTGAGTTAAGATATGCTTGTAACTTCCAACAGAAACGCGCATTAAAAAAGTGACATACAACAATGGCGATGGCAATCATGATAGCTACACCTTCCACCCAGTCGACAGGAGCTTGACCAGGTTTCCGAGGTGTTCCAAAATCCTGGAAGAAACCCAAAGCGAGAGAAATGACGGCCGCAACTGACAACAGAATCTGTATAAAGATAAGCAACTAGCACAACACCTAAAATGATGAAACAACGCACCAAAACCTTGTCTTGCAATGCGAGCCACATAAGTTGCAACAGTGTCTTGCTAATGCGTGTGGGCAGAACATTCTCGCCAAAGACGCGTTTGCGGTCGTCGAGTGTCGCACCAAATGCAGCCCCGTCGTCTGCGACGGTTGGAGCTGCTGTTTCTCCGCCTGGTTCCGTGAGGACGATTGCAGGTAGCTTCTCAACATGCTCTTGTGAGTCATGATTCGTGTGGTGGCGGTGAGAATGGCTATGACCCCCTTTCGACGGGCCCACTGCATTCGACGTCAGGCCGTGATCTGCACGAACTCCCAATCCCCTTAAAAGGCCACTAACACCACCAAAAGACGAGAGTATCGCCATACTCTTGGGGTCTAGCATATGCGCCAGTTGATATGGCTTGAAGGTAAAGGGCGCAGGATCTATCGCCTCGTCTTGAGAGAGCAGTATTTCATGGGCCGTCTGCGTGGGCTGCGCGCTGTCAACCTCATCCCCCTTCTTTGCTTTCTTCCTGCTGGCTTTCTCCTTCTCCTTCTCCGCATCCTTTTCCTCTTTGTTGGAGGGGAGTTCGAACGATTTTTTCTTGCTGGAGGCAGGCGCGTCGTCAAAATGTGTGAAAGAGGTCGTGGCGGATGACACATGCCGGTAGTCCACAGACTCTACGTCAGTCACTGAAGTGGCATCGCTACCCATGCGGTGATGTGTGTTTGGTGCCAAGAGGTTGAGAGAGGTAAGGCCAGACGAGTGCTCCGGGTTGTTATCCCGCAGTTGGAGAGTCGTTGGATATGTGACTGAATGGCTCGAGAGTGTTGGTGACGGAGGGATGGAGCTCGAGTCTGAGCCATATGCTGGGGGGGACAGCAGACCAGTCGAGAGGGGAGAGTGGAGGTCGTCCGTGGAATGTGGCGGGTCGACAGTGATGTTGATGGAAGGCACTGAGGAAGCCATGATAGCTATGTCTCCGACCTGTGAGGTGTGGGAGGTGTGTAAAAGGAAACCCCAAGTTGATTTGTCGTCTAAATACTCCTTCCGCCAAGGCCAAAAGGCTGTGCTTGACCCTGAACAAGATCGACGATATACAGCGCAATCCCAACGATCCAGCACTGAGCGAGCGTCTATATAACAACGGTCTGTTCGAAAATAAGCGCCTTGTATATGCCGACACCGTTGTCGACGACGAGTGCAGAAACGGCGAAGAGCAACTTGCAGTCTAAGTCTAGACGTCTGACGAACCGAGCATATGGCTTCAACAGTCACGTCACGTGTGTATATATAGCAATCGAACCCCCCTCGGTCTTTTTGCCCACTGGCAAAACCGTGTGATGCTCTGGCAGTCATAGCAGTGTCTGACACCGCAAGATCGTCATTTTTTTTCTCCATAAAATGCTGCTCAAATGCGCGCAGCGTTTTCCAGAATGCTGGTATTCCGCGAATGCACACATTTGCTCAATCTCTTGGTCTGACTTTGACTGCGCAACACTGTCAAACCGAGCCCTTCTCCGGATATGACTTGCGTCCCGATCGCTCGTTTGGCGCCGAGGCTTCCCGTAAGTGGGGAAGCGGCACTTACCCTCCCAAAGCTTACCCTGTACACCCAAAAACGGATCTAACGCCTCACACTCGGCACGGTATTGACATGCTTTATCCTACCCCACAGCACACTCCAAACCTTGCGGATGAACAATCAATACAGCACCCAAAGCGCACTCAATACCCTGTCACCGCATGGAGCGTGCGTGGCGCTAAAATTTACTTGGCTGACGACACGTGGCCTCTATGTAGCGTCCAACAAGCGTCAATGTTGCGTCGGTGACGACCTGCTGGAACAACAGCGACAGCATAAACGAAAATGAACACATCGTCTCATGGGATATGGATACGTACGTGTAATTCATGTCTTTCATAAACACGCTTTCGCTGCTTACTGATACTCACATCGTCCAATAGCGTAATATATGACAAAACTATCGCCTCAAATCAAAAAACGGATACTTCCTCATGGATTTTATCTTTAGAATGGCTCAGCTATCTTTAAGGCATATCAAATATAGTTGCCATGATCTAGGTGTGTACCTGCGGAGGGGGTGGCATAAAATACATATTCACTTGTGCTCTTGTCACAGCCAGCGATTATATATCTTGGCTACGACCAGATCCTGCATTAAAGGGCATATATTTGCCGGACAGAAGACGAGGAAAGTGATCGCTGTCTCTCCAAGGCATTGACACAGCCCCGGCCCCCCTTTCAAGTTGCTGCGCGTGCTCTCCACCCAAATTGCCCACATGTCTCATTGGGTATGTCATCACGCTCCTGACCCACAGATGCCATGGCCGCGTTCTCAGTAGGGTGCGTATATCCTTGCCAGAACCGGACGAATTAATTACAATTTCCTACAAATGGTCTACTTACTATATGGCTCATTCCAGGTAATACGACTATCACCGCTCGCCATACCTACTCAACTACGTACGACATGAAGTATCCATTTCCTATTTATGATGGGCAACCGTCGCGGGAGGCCTATGGGCATTCTTTTTCGGGCGAGCTCTGCACGAATCTGATAATGCAGAGCAAAAGACGCGATTCCAACTTCTCTGCGTCATATGGGTATCACAGAAGAAGACACTGCACCATGAGAGAGTCACCCTAAAAAGCGTCAACTATTTCAGATTTTACGTCGCTCTCGCGATCGTAACGTATGCGGCGATGTCCAGCGTTGATTAGCAGGTCCCTATTCAAAACTTGGCAGAAGGCTAAGTACAACGCCCGTCAACATTCAACATTGTCGGCGTCGAACCCCGCGTCTCTACACCAACCTCGACTCGTCACTACAGTCGCAGCACTGCTCAGCATTACGTGCGTTGCATATGACTTCCATCTCTGAAGTAAAGATCCCACATCTGCCAAAGTGTCTTTGCACACCACACGCAGATCCAGAATGCACCAGGCGGCGCCATTACATTGGTGGGTTGGCGTAATGGCAACGCGTTAGTTTCCGGCATAGTAGCCAGCTAAAGATTCTGGGTTCGAGTCCCAGGCCCGTCGTTTTTGATCACTTCCTTTTTGGGTGCTTTTTCGCGCCCACAACGCACATAAATCTAAAAATTAAAATATCCTCGGGCCTCTAACTGCAGGGAGCAGAATCAGGAATATGTCCATTGTCAAGAGATGCGCTGTGTCATGATTTTGTGTACCGATCACAGATATCATAACAATAGTCCCGCAGATATTTTCTCCTGGATGCAGGACAGTGGACTATCTTTCAAGCACAAGCTCGGCATTTCTGCATAAAGTCTGTGATTCCGGAATCCCATGCTGTTCTGATTTTCAAATTCTTAGCAGGTCTTAGCACTCAAGTGACACGAATACTAAGACCTGCCGCCAAGGTGTGCATTTATATCAGATATCAGATAACCTACCAGTATCCTGGTAGAACGTGCGTAGCTACATACATATATCAGTGCACTGCCTTGCTATGGCATCTCATACCATTCCTCATCCGAATCACTGCTGTGAAGTATGTAAAAATGTGTCGTTCGTTGGTCGTTCGGCCCGAGGGATAGGAGTTTGGAGCACACCCCGCTTTACGACCTTGTTCAATTTGCATCAAATCTGGACTACTCCGTGTCATTTATTAGGCATAAACAGGATTCCCGCCATCCGCTCTGGCTTGAATAATGAATTAATGATCATCCAGCGGGCGCCTAAAATATAAATCTCGTGACAACTAAGGCGCTTATAGTTGCTAGCAACTTACACTCCAGCGCTCTCCCAGAGGGGTCGCAAATGATTCGAGAAATACACGCGTTCCCAACGAACGCACGCGTAGATACTGTCGCTAGGGGTAAAAGGCATCCCCGCTCGGACGCTTCGTAGATATACATCGTTCATTATTGTAACTATCCTCATTTAGACGATAGTTTACTTGAATTTTCCTAACGTAGAAGGGTAAATACGGGACGATTACAATCATGGAAGTATGCCGACTAAACCGGCGTGGCCTGGATATAAAGAAATGTGTTTTTCTAGACTGGGACCACTGACTTGGTGACGTCCATTCATTCGATGTATATTTTTATTGCATCATTACTCCTTTTAAATAGCATATTTAGGTGTATAAGATGTTCGGTAGAAACCGCACATCTATACTAGTAAACTGCTTTACTCGAACACACGATGCGAAGTTAGTGAGCACCCCAGATGTCCAAAAAAGGTAGTATATAAATTCTACGCCAATTGCGCACCACTTGCCTGCCCCATCGGTTGCATATCTCGCACTAGAGCCCTCGATTGCACAGCCTTCTACCTCCTGACCGACTGCCCACTGTACGATGTTATCAGATTATACTGGCATCTGAAATATTGTCGGCATGCATACATACGCCACTCACCGTGTAACATGGTTCCTGGCCTTAGCCATAAGTCGCCTGGGCTCATTTTACAGCCTCTTCGTCGTCTTCTGGCCTCCTCTGGCCCAGACACAGCGTGTAAGTAATAATGACATGCGCTTCGTATGCGTTAGACGAGATGATACTAATTAGCTCTGCGGATACCCCTTATGGTTATAGAACGCTAAAAAAACAGATGCATCGCAGATACCTGTTTTCATGCTGTGAAACGACTCTGTATGAGAGCAAACGTACCATAATGGCGACTTTGCGAAATTCCTTATTTCCTTTGCTTCCAACAATACAATTACTGCTTTTTTCAGCTGTTAAGGCTGTACAGAATTCATTGTATTCCCATTTCACAAATATTAAGTGCACGTATATATCCCGGTTCAGCCCAGTGCGCACACCGAAGTAACGGTACTGCTGGTAGACATTTTACGTGGAGTACAAGACAAATCTCCAAGAAATGCAGTGCATGATATTATACCGACGACCGGCTTGGATTTTATTCTTACGAAGCCAGACTGCGCAAGGAACTCAAATTTCACGAGACTCGCTCAGATTAATCACACTGTTAAATAAGCACACCAGTCAGGACTCGGCTGGGCTACAGACAGCCCGCCAGTAACGCATCCTAACCCCCGGGTGACTCATTCATAAGTACGAGCGTCACTTAGTCAAGCTCTCAGGTTACTTATAACCACGACTGTGCATTCGGCATTGCCATCGCTCCTTCCGGAATTTGATACCCACAATGCCACCCCCACTAAGATCCCGCAGGTGCCTGTGTATACTGCAGCCGCGACGTCTCGCATCGAAGTGCTCCGACGTAACCCTTTGCCTCGCAAGCTTCAGGGAGCCGTGACCGAAACCCCGCTCTTTACCTCAGCCTCAACCAAGCCTCAACCCCTCCAGCACGCTTTCTCGGCAATTCTGATGTCTTCTGACAGCGAGGCTGTGTTCATACACCTTGTGCACCTCTGGGCTTAACCCCAAGCGGTAATATGTCGACAATCGTTTTAATGGCTCTCCGGAACGGTCCCTCCAGCACATACTACGGTGCCATTGCCAACGCGCACTTTACCAATGTTAATCCAGGCCGACCCCTGCCAGGTGTCCAGTTCTTTATCGGGAAAAAACGATGCCAAAAATGGCACTTACCCCAAGGTCCGTGATGGTGCCGCTTGCTACAAATGCCACATGTCCCGGGGCATCATGGGATCGTCCTATTTATAGCCTCATGCCTAGTACAATTATCGTTTGCGATGGCAGAACGCCACGGCCCAGTCAACTTCTTCTCCAACACGATCGGTGGCCGCTTGTGACACGTAAAGATCCGATTTTCTTTTCCGCTTGCGTAACCACGTCTTGAGAAAGAACAGCGTCGTAAAGAGCTCGATGTAGACGATTCATATATGCAGTAAAATTATAATATCTGAGAAATCTACTGAGGTATTCGTACATTCTACGGACCAACCCAAGTTGTCAAACAAGCAAGTAGGAGCATGATAGTACATGTATACGCTTAAATGAAATAAAATTACAACCTGTTCGACACTCGTGAATACCCATAGAGACCGAACGGAAGGAATGTAAGATAGCAGACTCGTCTTTGAGGACGAATTCCAAGAGAATGTAGTAGCACAGCGTAATGTAACTCTAAAGGGATAAGCAACCCCCAGATATGGATTACGACAACTTTCCTTGACTCCTGCCTTGTTTTCGTCACTTTTTACGCAGCAATAGAAGGGAGAACACGGACGGCTCTCGACCACCCGTTTATGTTGTCAGCGGAACAGACCCGTTGACAATCACATTGCCGTCTGTCGCCTCGTCGTGTGCCTTGACATGTAGTTCGGCCTGGCCCTCCTTGCTCACGTCCTCTGTGTCGATCTTGCCCATCTCCCTGATGAAACTGCTGCCCCAGAACGCAGCACTGTACTTGTTCACATACTTGAATAGTTTCCGCTGGTTCTCTGCCCGTGTCGTAGCGTCCATAGTCACAGCCTCGTGTATCGCATCCGCGACTTCTTGTGAATCCCACGGGTTGACGACTATTGATCCGTTGAGGCTCTGCGCGGCCCCGGCGAATTCGGAGAGTATGAGCACTCCTTGACGGGCTTGCTGGCAAGCGATGTACTCGTAGGATACCTGCATTCTGCAATGAGCATGCCAAGATTATAATCACAGAAATGAAGGTTACTTACGAGGTTCATGCCGTCTCGGGTACTGGATACCAAACATACATCGCTGACGGTGTACAGTGCACACAGTTCATCGAATGCAAGGCTCTTGTGCATGAAATGAATTGGCATGAACTCCACCGTGCCGAAGCGTCCATTGATACGCCCAACGAGTTCGTTCACAGTCGATCGCAGATTCTGATACTCCTCAACGTCCTGCCGTGACGGCACTGCAAGTTGGACGAGCACAACCTGGACAAAGTTTAATAGGAATGTCATCACAGTGGAGAAGAACGTAGCGAACCTTGCCAATCCACTCCGGGTGCTGCGAGAGGAAGAGTTCGAGAGCATGTAATTTCTGAGGAACACCCTTGATATAATCAAGACGATCGACTCCAACAATGACTTTAACGCCGCCGAAACGCTGTTCCAGTTGCTTTACCCGATCAATGACAGAAGGTTTTTGGAGATTCTAAAACGAGACGATAAGAAAGTCAGCGCAAATATGAATTGTCGCAATACCCGACTCACCTCGATAAAGCTGTTGGGCTCAATTCCAATTGGGAAGGTCCCCACATGAGCAAGACGGCCTTCAAACTCGACGCCGTTCGGCATGGTCGAGAGCCCAAGAATACGCGTACATGATGACAGGAAATGACGAGCATAGTCGTATGTGTGGAACCCGATGAGGTCACAGTACAGCACTCCAAGCAGAATCTCGCGTCGCACAGGTAAAATCCTACTGGAGTCAGGGTGCGTCTAGAGAGTAGAAAATATGGTAGCGTACCTGTAGATTTCGCTACTGGGGAAGGGTGTGTGCAGGAAGTAGCCAATCTTCACCCCTGGCGTGGGAGGTTGTGTCGACGAGAATGCCGTGACGTCAATTCCTTCCGTAATCTTGGTCAACTCCTCGCTCGTGAATGTGCCAACGTTTGTGCGACCATCGATCATACCGCGCAGGAGCATGGGAAGGAGCATGAGATGGTAGTCCTGCACCCAGACCATGGCACCAGGGGTAATTTGCTGACGAACGACCTCGGCAAACTGCATATTGGCCTGGCGATATGCAAGCCAGTTCTCCTCGTCGAAGTTCATCTCGCCCGGGTGGTAGTGAAACAATGGCCATAGGATAGAATTGGAGAAGCCGTTGTAGTGTCGATCAGCGACGTCATCGTCGAGGTAGACGGCCTGACATGAGTACTCTTCCATGAGGCGTTTGTCTACTAGCGGACGGTCTTTCGGGGGGATGAAGAAACCAGGCCATCCGATCCAAGTGAAGTTGAGCGACTTCTTGAAACCCGAGAGAGCTGATACAAGACCGCCGGACGACATTTTAAAGTGGTACTCGCCATTGGCGTCCTTGTTGATAGTAATGGGGAGTCGATTTGAGACGACGATGAGGTGACCACCCTTTCCGAAATCCATGTCGTTGGTCTGGTGTTCGATCGGTTCGGAGGCCATGGCGGTCTGA